AGCCCCGCCCACCACATTGAAGCCCCGCCCACCTTGAGGACGTAGTCCGGTCCCTGGCCACGCCCACCCCATTGAAGCCCCGCCCACCCCGTTGAAGCCCCGCCCACCCCGTTGAAGCCCCGCCCACCTTGAGGACGTAGTCCAGCCCCCGGGCCCTGGCCACGCCCCTGGCCCCGCCCAGCGCCGCCGCCGCGGCCGCGGCCTCCAGGGGGCGCCGCCGGGGGCTCTCGGCGTGGTGCTGCAGCGCCCCCTGCAGGAGCTCGGCCGCGCGCGCCCGGTCCCGGCCCGCGGCGCGCAGAGAGCGCAGGGCGCTGGGCGGAGAGGGGTGGGAACGGGAGAAACCGGGTTGGAACGGGAGAAAATGGGTTAAAACGGGCAAAAATGGGGTTAGAACGGGCAAAAACGGGGTTGGAACGGGAGAAATCGGGTTAAAACGGGCAAAAACGGGGTTAGAACGGGCAAAAACGGGGTTAAAACGGGCAAAAACGGGGTTAACAGGGGCAAAAACGGGGTTAACACGGACAAAAATGGGGTTAACAGGGGCAAAAACGGGGTTAGAATGGGAGAAACCGGGGTTAACATGGGAGAAACCGGGTTAGAACGGGCAAAAACGGGGTTAACACGGGCAAAAATGGGGTTAGAATGGGCAAAAACGGGGTTACAACGGGAGAAACCGGGTTGGAACGGGCAAAAACGGGGTTAGAACGGGAGAAAACGGGTTAGAACGGGCAAAAACGGGGTTAACACCGGCAAAAACGGGGTTAACACAGGCAAAAACGGGGTTAGAACGAGAGAAACCGGGTTCGAATGGGAGAAATCGGGTTAGAACGGGCAAAAACGGGGTTAACACGGGCAAAAACGGGGTTAGAACGGGAGAAATCGGGTTAAAATGGGCAAAAACGGGGTTAGAACAGCTGAAAATGGGGTTAAACCAGCCCCCCCCGGGGTGAGAACAGCCCCCCCTTGGATTGAAACCCCAAACCCACCCTGAAATCCCCCCCAGGACCCCTCAAATCCCCCCCA